GGCGCAGGACCGGGCGGTGTTTCGCTCTGCTGGGCAGGAGCTCCCTATGAGTCCGCACAGACTTGATGGCACCTCACAAGGACATGAGGGAGAGGTGCGCACAGAGCCCAGGAAAAGTCTCCCACGGGGACAATGGTAGGCTGTTCCAGAAATGACCAGAGCGCTGGCGGGGAGGACTGGCCTTCCCATCCCCCACGCCCTCTTCCCTGAATCAGGCAGCTTGTAGGGTCAGGGGCATTCTGCCAATGGCTGGCTTCAAGGTCACCTCTGGGGGAGGTGTCTTGGGTGAGTGTCTCCCCAGCCCCCAGCCTGCCCTAGTCTGAGCTCTCTTCTCCCAGCTGAAGGATCCCAGCATCTCAGGAGCCTGGGCTCCACACCCACTCCACCTAGGCTTGTACACAGAGTCTCTAGGGGTCAGTAACACCTGACAACAAGGTGTTGTTGTAGGCCCGTAGGCCCAGCAGCCCCAACACAGAGCCCGGGGAGCTCACCCTGGTGGCCATTTTGCCTCCAGAGAGGACAGGAGCACAGGAGGCACAGTCACTCGAGGTCAAGGCCAGGCTGGCCAAGGTCACACCTGTGAGTGGCCAGCCGAGCACATCTCTCTGCCCGCCCCACCCTTGTCCCTCCATCCCGTCCAGGCTAGCGAAACCATCCTGATGTCCGCGGGCATTCCGCCCCCGCCCCCTCCTGTCCTCAGACTTTATCTGCTGCCTGCAGTTGGGATCTGAGAACCATTTCCTTTTATCCTGCGTTTTATAGCGTCTTAAACCCGCCCGCTCAGGCGCGTCTGGAGGCGGCTCAGTCGGCAGGGCGAGGACAGGGGCTCGTTGAAGGTCGAGGGGACAGTGGCTGCCTCTGCACCAATCTCTCTGGGTGGGGGTCCTGGCGCTGGTGTGAGCACCCAGCCCCTCAGCCTGCCCTCTGACCTCCATAGACACTGCTCCCTTCCCTTCAACCACTCACAGGAAGGCCAGGGGAACTGGTTCACCCAGGGCATGGGTGCAGACCCAGGATTTGGTCCTCAACCCCGCCCCCCAGGAGGCCCTAGCCCCACCCTGATCTCCAGATGGGGAAACCAAGTCACTCCAGGCTCCCCACCTCCGGGTGCTGGGTGCATCGGATCTGCTTCTCACCGTCTGCTTCTCACCCCAGCCCCTGGGGCGGGGCCAACTGGGTGGCTACTACTTCCCAGACCTGGAGCCCCCTGGCCCCAGCCCAGAAGCCCTGAGTGAGGGTGGACAGGAAGCCCATAGGCCCCACTCTCTGCCTGCGGTGGGGACGAGGATGAACTGAGGGCACCAGTTCATCAGTGAGCAGCTGCCAAGAGATGGGGCACCTTGGCTGTCCAGTCACGCTGACACCATCGCTCAGCTTCCCCTGGACTCTGTCCTGTCCGGGAGGGGCTGGTCTCTCCAAGAGCCATGTCCCCCACCCCACTCTACCCCTGCCGTGCCAGCCCTGACAGCCTGCTACCACCCATCCTCCAGGTCACCCTCCTTTCTCCTCATCGTTCTTCCCCGCCCCTGTGACCCATGGGGGGCAGGGTTTGCCCCTAGCCCAGCAGTGGCTCCCCCATCCTGGGTACCTGGGTGTAGTGGGGGACGCAGATTTTGTTCCTGGCTCAGTAAGGACGCGCCCCAGGCCGGGTTATCCACTGCGGAACGCATCATGTCCTCTTGTGATTAAAATGTCACAGGCAGACGGAGAGGGACACGCTGGCCCGCAGGCACGTGGCAGGTGATGGGCCACAGACTCCTTGAGTTGACATTTCTGCAGGGGGGCAGGGGGGTGCAGCCCTGAGTGGCCGGAAGCCAGATGGCTCTGCCTCCACCCACCCACCCCCACCCTCTGCTGTGTGATCTTGGGCTGGTCACCACTACCTGGGCCTCTCGTGAGGCTGCTTACTCCTCATCTGGCCGCTCCCTGGCCCAGGAGACTGAGGAGGGAGGGAGCAGACCCTACAGAGGCCTGGGGTAGGAACATTCTTGCCCAGCTGGGCCCCATGGGACAGGCCACAGTGACCCCCTGTACAGTCCTTGTGGTGTCGGGAGGTGCAGAGCCCCCTCCACATTCCTGGGGTGAGCCCAAGGCTCTACACCCTGGAGGCCAGTGTCCAGTGGGGACAAAGGCAAGGTCAGCCTGCTCGGCCAGCATCCATGTGTCCCCATCGGAGCGGAAGGTCAGGCTCTGTGGCCGACTCTGGACTGCCGGAGCAGGCTGAGAGAGAGAGAACGTAACTCGGGGTCACTGTGGCATAAGCGATGCCCCCCCCCCCTCCCCCCGTGCATGTTCAGACCGGAACGTGTGAACTCCCCTGGATCGAAGTAGGGTCCGTGGCATTGGGACTGAGTTCTGATGAGACCATCCCCAATCTCCGGCCAAACTCACGGCCATCGAGTCCAGGCTGACTTGCAGCGATACTACAGGACAGGGCACACCTGCCCCGGGGTTCTGAGGCTGTGATGCTTCACAGGAGCAGGGAGCCCTGTCTTTTGTGCCCCCTAAGCACGCTGACCTTGCAGTTCACAGTCCAATAGTGACCTGTGACTTCCAATCCCATGGCCAGTGTCCTCCTGGAAGGGGAAGGACAGACACACAGGCCCATGGGCAGCCATGTGAGGTCAGAGGCAGAGATTGCTGTGCTGTGGCCACCAGCCCTGGAGTGTCTGGGGTCACCAGGTACCAGAGGAATGAGGATGGATCCTCTCCATGCCCCTGCGCCCCCTGAGCCCCGAGCAGGACCCTGCCCTGCAGACACTTGATCTGAGAGTGTCCTCCAGGAGCGGAGTGATCGGGCTATGAAAGCAGGCTCTTCTGGGACACTCACAGGGGGGAGGGGTAGGCTGGGGGCACAGTGGTCGGAGATACGGGATGAGTTACTGCTCTAGCCACGGTGGGGGCCCCTCCTCAACCATAGCGGGAGTCTGTGTTGAGCCTGGGCCTCTCCCCACTTAGATCCGGGGCACCACGATGGCTGGCACACCCCACAACACACCCATCACCCCAAATGCCAACACTCCATAATTCCATGCTCTGTCACCAGCACTCTGCCAAAAATCCCAAAATGCCAGCACCCAGCTACGCACCCCAGTACCCCCAAACCTCTGTAGACTGCCACCCCAGCACCCTGGCTTCCCAGCAAGCCCTGTCGAAGCTTCAAGGTCAAAGAGGATCAAGGTCGCTGGAGGGGCCCTGGCATCCTCTTCCTGTGTCCCAGTGGGCTCTTGGGTCTGGGGTTCCGGGTCAGACCAGGCTGGGAGAGGAGCTCATGGTCAGAGCAGGGCTGGGGAAAGTGGCAGGAGAGGGAGTGCAGGGATGGACTGAGGGATTTGGGCGGGTGGGTTTGTGCATCTCCCTCTAAGGTGGGTGGGATCCAGCCAGTGGGGTACCAGCTGCCCATCCCTGGTCAGTGAGCACACAGCCAGTCCCAGGAGTTGGGGCTCCAGGCATTTTGCGGTCACCAGCGCCCTCTGCGGGCAGCTTTGGGCATCGCCCCTGGCTCTCAGGGTTCTAACCTCCTGAATGCCTGACCCCCAAAGGGTGCTCCTACCGGGTGAGGGGTCTGTCACCGACCTGAACCTTATAGCCTGGCGCTGAGTGGCCCTAGGCACCCTCCCCCAGAGGCGGATGTGGGCACGCTAACCTCGGGGCTGGTGATTTGAACACGCCATTAAACCTCCAGCTGGACACACAGGAGCAGCAGGAGACCCAGGGGTCACTCCGCTGGGCAAGGGCAGAAGGCCCTGGAGGCTCCCAGGGGTGAGGGCTCCTCCCCAGAGCGTCTCTTTTATGATAATGGGGTCACTGTCAAGTCGTGATCTTATAGGACAGGGTGGAACCCCCACCCCCTGTGGGATTCTGAGGCTGTCTGTCTTCACAGGCGCTAGAAGCCAGTGAGCGCCTGGTGGTTTGGAACTGCTGACCCCGTGGTTAGCAGCCCAATGCGAAATTGACTTGGTGGTGGTGTTTTAATTTTGCCGAGGCCCACTGTGATCATCCGAATGTCCATCTGTCCTGCCCACGGCTGAGCCAGAACCCAGAGCAGCTAAGGCCACAGATCAACCCGGGAAATGGAGAGAGGGCAGTGGGATAACCCCGCCTCCACGCTCACTCCGAGCCCAGGCGTTTACCCCGAAAGGGAGAGATCAGGGCACGGACCCACCCCGCTCAAGGGTCCTCCAAGCCAGCGTGACCCCTTGGCCCTGTTTCTAGGGCAGTGCTTCTCTACCTTCCCCATGCTGCGACCCTTCCCCATGCTGCGACCCTCTAATACAGTTCCTCATGTTGTGGTGACCTCCAACCATAAAATTATTTTCGTTGCTACTTCATCACTGTAATCTTGCTACTGTTATGAATCGTCATGTAAATAACTGATAGGCAGGATGTATTTTCATTATTACAAATTGAACGTAAATATAAAGCATAGTGATTCATCACAAAACAATATGTAATTATACATTGTGAAATATGTATGTGTTTCCCGATAGTCTTAAGCGACCCCTGTGAAAGGGCCGTGCGAACCCCCCCAAAGGGTCGCGACCCACAGGGTGAGAACCGCGGTTCTAGGGGCGTGGCGGGGTTCGGTGCCTGGCCCTTTAAGAAAGCAGTTCGGGGGGGCGGGGTCGTCCCCGTTGCTGAGCAACAGGAAAGCTTCTTGTGTACCGCGTTGCCGCGGCAACCGGCAGTGGCGTCCTGCTCCGGGCGGTGGGCGGCGCTACCTGGCTGCGCTCCCTGACCGCCTATCTCCCTCCGCCTAGCTAGGCACCCGGCGGCCTGGCCATGGCACAGACCGACGTGCTCTTGACCCGGGAGCCGGCCCCGCAGACTGTACCGGTGTGCGAGCTGCCACGCAAAGAGTACGATGTGGCCCGCAACACGGGCGCCTGCACGTCGGCGGGCCTGGCCACGGCGGGCTTCCGCACCGCCAAGTACCTGGTGGACGAATGGTTCCAGAATTGCTACGCCCGGTACCACCAGGCCTTCGCCGACCGCGACCAGTCGGAGCGGCAGCGCCACGAGAGTGTGCAGCTGGCGACCGAGACGGAGGCGCTGGCGCGGCGCACGCAAGAGGACAGCACGCGCCGGGTGGGCGAGCGGCTGCAGGACACCCACGGCTGGAAGTCAGAGCTGCAGCGTGAGATCGAGGAGCTGCTGGCGGAGACGGAGCTGCTGCTGGAGCAGAAGCTGCGGCTGGAGCGCGCGCTGGACGCCTCGGAGCTTCCCTACTCCATTGCCACCGACAACCTGCAGTGCCGCGAGCGCCGCCAGCACCCCGACCTCGTGCGCGACTACGTGGAGATGGAGCTGCTGAAGGTGCCGCACGCAGGCACCGGGGAGCAGGCGCCTTGCAGGGGCCAGGGGCAAGGGGGGCAGTGTTGCCCTCCCCGCTGGAAATGAGACTGTCCGTGTCCTCTGTAAAAATCCCGCTGTCCAGTCCAAGCCGACTCAGACCGACCCTGTAAAACAGGGAACAACCGCCTCCGTGGGTTTCCAAGTTTGTCACTCTTTGTGGGAGTAGAAAGCCTCGTCTTTCACCCAAGGAGCGGTTAGTGGTCTCGAACTGTTGACATGTGGTTAGCAGCCCAAGGAGTAACTACTACACCACGGGGGCTTTGGTATACTAGAAGGAATCAATGTGGAGGGGGGCGGTCTTTCCAGGTAGGAACACCAAACACTGGACCAGGGGACACCTAGTCCCCAGAGGTCAGAGCCCTCAGCTCAGTGCATGAACCACAGCATCAAGGGGGTGGGCAGAAGGGGGCCTAAGTCCAAGCACATGGGACCCCTCTGGGTGTGGGGAGGACAGGGGATGATCCTCTCAGTGCATCAAAGAGCCCTAGGATGGTGATTGCATTCAGCAGTTCAAACTCACCAGCCACACTGCAGGAGAAAGATGGGGCTGTGGGCTCCCAGTCTGGGGAACACCGTAGGGCAGTTTTCCTCTGTCCTACTGTGAGTCAGTAGTGAATTCAAGACAGTGGGGTTTTGTACAATGCATAAGGTTTCCTTTGAAAAGGCCAGCGCCTGATGAGAAACAGATGGCTGTGTGGCTGCATTTTCTAGAAAAAAAGGACAAAGTGGGTATCCATCCGGCCCAGGCAGTCCTGAGTGTTCCAACACCCTACCCCCCTCACCCCCCTCCACTTGCCTGGATATTTGAGGAGGTGACTGTGGGCAGTACATTAGCTGGCCAAGCCATGCCAGTTGGCCACCATGGGGTCAGGGGCCCAGCCTTCAGGTTTGGGGGTCAGCCTGGAGCTCAGGCGGGTCCCCCACCCCACAGGAAGCGGAGCTTGCCCGGAACATTCAGGAGCTTCTGAAGAGAACCATTCTGCAGGCTGTGAACCAGATCCGGTGGGTACCAACCCCCACCCCTCCCCAGGTTGCCCTCAGGATAAGCCCTGCCCCACCAGCTGTGGCGGCACCTCCCAGAGCACAGGGAGGGGCAGGTCCAGCTGGGCTCGAGGCCTGGGTGTCCAGCCTGGTCCTGGACCCTACTGACCAGGTGTGGCCCCAGGCTGCATGTCCTGCACCGGGCAATGGAGACCACCCTGCAGTTGAAGGCTGAGGCCAGGCCTTTGGCCACAAGAGTCCCAGTGGTCCTGAGCGGGGGGCCCAGCAGTCTCAGGAGGGGCTGACCCTGCCCCAGTGCAGGCACAGACGCAGCCCCGCCCCCGCCCCCGCCCCCCAGGCTGAACCGGGAGCACAAGGAGACGTGCGAGATGGACTGGTCGGACAAGGTGGAGGCGTACAACATCGATGAGGCCTGCACCCGCTACACCAACCAAAGCACCGACGTGCAGTTCCACCCTCACTCGGCGCTGATGGAGGAGAGGTGGGTCCGGACCTGACCCGCGCCGGGGAATTTTGCGCCCCCTACTGAGTTCTGCTTGGGTGCAGTGTCCGCTGTTGGCCTGTCCTCCCTCGGACCCTCTGACCCTGAGGCTGCCCAGCTCTCCGTGCAGCTCTGGGGACGAATGGGTAGAAAACGGGCGGGGGATGGCACCGCTGGCGCTGCAGTTCCGTG